AAATCCTGTCCAAATTGGTTGCAATTGGTGACGCACGGAAAATATATTAGATTACTACTTCCTTGTCTTTTATGTACATTTAATGGGATTCTAGTAATGTGTAAAATAATTCTATTTGTAGGGAATATGATCATTAGAAAAGGCAGCCTACTGGAAGTACACATCACGCAAAGAAAGTAAAAGTAAGTATAATTACAAAAATGGCTGTCATAGAGAAGACGATGTAGGACAAATTGTTCAGAATTTCCAACCGCAAGTGTTTAGGGGTCTATGCATTCTTTTTGAGAGTTATTGTGATCATAGAATCACTGTTCTACACTACTCAGGTGCCGTATGGTTGAGAAGGAAGCCATCCGCGGACTGAATATAACAGTTGTGGCACTCATGTAAAGCAAACTCACAAAACGATACCAGATACTTGTGACGATCGAGTGATCCGTGTGAATGTTGCTGGACAATTTTTTCTGTTTTGTTGTAGGTGGTTGGGGATTCACGCCGCTCTCGTTTGAAGAGCTCTCATTCTGTCCCGCACCCACCCAAATTGTCCAGCGGGTCTCAAGTTTTCTGGTAGGCTGATGACAACGCGATCGCCCCGCATGTCGGATGTCCACAGTTCAGATCCCGATAAGGCGCAGCATATGCACTACTGATGAGTTCTCATAACAGCGAAACCCGTGTCTGATGTTTCCCCCTTTGGTGTGCACTCACCATGATAACTATTTTAGGACAGGAGGTCGGCTAGGAATGTGATTGGTTGTTGATCCGGTGGCTTTCGACCTGTTCACCGAGCGTGAATGAAACCACTAGAAAACCGGGTGACTGCCTTTAAAAAGATATTTGCAAACCTGGCTAGACCTGATAGCGGTTGTTAGCACTGCGTATCTAGTTTCTGACAATGTGAAAGATCAACCTGGACCATTCCCTTAGTAACCTGTTGTATTACCGCAATTTCTGTATGGTGTTCTACCTCATCATCTCACTGAAAACGATTAAAGTTTCATTCTTAGCTGAACTGTCGCTTTGCATACTGATAAGTAGTATTTTCTGCCATGGTGATCGTGATTATTTGCCAAGTTCCGGCCTTTGTAAAGTCTCATGTAGGACAGGCTGCAGACAATTCATTTTGAGGTAACAGTTATCAAGTAGTTGAATGGGTGATTCACACGGATACTCTTCCATACTGTGAAATATTTTCAGTACAAAGCGTGCCAGCTATCGTGGGTCAAATTCTATTCATGACACAGTTATTTTGGACTTGAGGTTGGCTTCGTTTCCAACCTATCAGGATTGGTGCTAGATCAGTTTTGACACAAGACAGACGGAAGATGAATCTCTGCTTAAAAAACAATCATCAAGGTGATCCGACAATGTTCCTTCCGGCTACCGTAGTTTTTGTGATTACCACATCACGATCAAGACGAATGTGGCCACAAATGACTTTGGTATACTGTGGTGATCTTCGAATATTGTAGTAACCAATGCAAAAGTGAGTTATCTCCAGATGAGTTGTTTACCATTCAGGCTTCAGATACTATTCTAGGAAGACATGTCCATTGGAAACCCTCACAGAAGACTGGTTTAAATGACAAATTCTTGAACTTATCTGGTTAAGGAGGCGAGCCCCCCTACGCAGTTGTAATACATCCTTTCAGATATCTCATCAAATGTAATGTAATCAGAACAAAGCGCTTTAGTAATTTTAGTTTGCTCCATCGTTGGGCTGTGCTCCCAGAAGAAGTACACCCCAATCCTTTGATTGAAATGGCCTAGTAATGTTCATCCCTTCAGCTCGATGCAGACACACTAAGCCATATCCCTGAAATGACGTACGGAGATAGTTGTACGATATGTAAACTTTGATCCATCCAGTACTTTCGATAACCTTTCCTCCTAAGTATGATTTGCGTAGGCCCCAAAAACGCGTTTACCCAGGCTCTGTGTGGTACAAACCGCCCATCAAAACACACGGTATAATGAAATACAAACTTTATAATATAATATAATATAATATAATATAATATAATATAATATAACATAATATAATATAATATAATATAATATTTCATATCCCTATTTATTTTTTCAACCGAATCCGCAAGTTGTAAGCTGCGCACTGGTCTTTATTCGCTGTTTTGTTCCATGCTCACTATCGATCGCGAATATCCTGTCCAACATTACAACATCCAACAAATTATTTTGCTTACGGAGCCAGCCTGAGTGATTAAGTGGCTGTGCTGAGGTATACATCCGCCCTGTAGACAGCAGATTGTCCAAGTTAATTACATAGTCTGCTTTCGATAATCAAAACAGTGCCTCACATTGTTGGGAAATTTCAGCCCTGTTGTTAATGCCCTGATCGATTTCAAAAGCAGTTATTACCGACAACCAGGTTTTTGATATAGGCTATTTAAGGAAACTCGTGGTGTGGTTTTGATGCCAGTTTATGTTCTGCTGGAGAAGGGAAGTCGACTTTGAGTTGTTTACTGACAGCATGAACCAAGCGATTACAGGTTATCATACACAAAAGTAAAAACGTGATTTGAACAGAGGTCTTGAAAGTGAATAGCCACGTCTTCTACGAATTTCCTGGACACTTGAACAGCAATCATCTGTGATATGCTAATTTCCATATCGACATTTCATTAAACGTCATGTTTGCACGAGGGCTGGGATACTGCCAGGGCGCCCACACCTAGACAGGAGGACGATTAGGGTCCTCAACCAAAGCCTTTGGCTAAAAAGCTAACCGCAAGGCAGCGGTGTTCGGCTGGAAATGCAAGTACACTACCATTTTTTTACGGAACACGTCGCCATACATGTTCCAACCCCCAATCTGGAGGGCGAAGAGACTGTGTTCGTTGGACCTCTACCCATGAACCAACCTGGTATGAGAGACTCTGTGGGCATTGTGCGGATACTCCCAAGTATAGCTCAATGGGTCGCCGAGGTACGCAAACCGCCACACCGCGGTAAGGTCCAGTCTCTTCGTGACACCAAGACATACACACCTGATAATACTCTCATGCCGCATCGGCCGTCGCGTGGTGCCATCAGCTGGGTCGCCTTACTTACTGCATACAGCAGGTTGGGTAAGCGAAAACATGCTACTACTGACCTCTCCCTTCTTATACTTTCAGGTTTTCCGTCTTCCAGCACCCCCGCCCAAATTTGAGTAGTTTCTGCGCAGGTCCCAGCTCTAGGACTGACCGTTTTGTTTGCCCTGCATCGCACTCAGCTGCAGCTCCTCTATGTCCGAGTTCAGTTACAACCCTAAACACTTCGAAGTCTGTTTTCAAACCCCGAAAGATACAGGATGCAGGTGCTGTAGTTTATCTGACTGCCCCATCGCCTTCTAGGATCCGGGTGCGCCCGGTGATGCAGAAGCCGCTGCTGGAGTTGGTATTGTAGTAAGCGACCGAGCGGAAGTGTTTCCATCTGATTGGATACCTGTTGACTGTCACATCTACGCAGTTCGTTTGTCAACCTTTGTGAAAGAATCTCGCGAAAGTGAGGTCCATCACACCGTGTTTATTTTATCTACTTACACCCCAACTGACTGTAGCCCTGAATCTGCCCAAGACAGTTTCTGTGACACTCTAGGTGCCCTTTTTCTCAGACATCGTTGTGGTTGCTGGTCACAGGAATGGTCAGGTATGTAGGCTAAAGCTTCTGAAGCCCGACTGGATGGTCGTTTTGAACTGGATAAGAGACGCACGGACAACGGAGAGTACCTGCATCAGATGTGTGCCAATCACAGACTGTTCCTTTGCAGTACTGATTTCCGGAACAGTTTAAATCACGTGACAACGTGGTGCCCAGCAAAAACAAAAACAAGCGCCGAATCCAAATAGACCACATCGCCGTCAGTTATCGGTGACGAGGGTCGATCACCGCCTGCCGCTCCTTCTGGAACACCAGCATGGACTCCGACCTTGCACTTGTACGCTGCTGCATTTCATTGCGCTTCTCAGGTGTACGCAAAACGCGCACACCTCGCTTAGCCACTGAGAAGCTAGTAGGCACAGAATTCGAACGAAACTATCAGAACCAGCTCATCGAATGCCTGCCGGACGGTACGGTGTCAGATAGAGACAGCCACTGGGAAAGAATATCCAAAGCGCTATTCAAAGCCGGAATGTCTGCTTACGGTACAGCCCAACACTGGGTCTCTGATAGAACCGTGTCTTTTCTGGAGGCCCGGCGACAGATCCCACCTGGCCGCCGCCACAACTCCATCCGGCGCATCATCCGACGCTAGGTGAAACTGAGCGTCCGTGCAGACCAAAAAGCATGGTGGACCCGAAATGTCGAAGAAATCGAAGATGCAAAGAATGCTGGAAACGTGCGCAAACTGTTCTACTTGATTTGTTCGATTGGTCCTCGGAAACCTCTTGTCAGCGAAATAATCAGGGACCAAAATGACTCCCTGATATGCAACAAAGCAGAACGCTTGTGCCGCTGGGCACAGTACTTCGAGCAGCAATTCAGCTGGCCATCTTCCACCTCCAATCCAGAAACCTTGTCTCTAACGGAAAGGTGGACTGTAAATATGGAGCCGCCTCCAGCCTCAGAAGTGTTCGAATACATTTCTTTACTCAAGGGTCATCGTGCTGCTGCTCTTTTCAATGATGGCGGTGGATTCCTCAGCCAACGTCTGCGTGTGGGGGAAGGAGACAACTTGGGTGAATTGATAATGGTGCCCATTTTCAAAAATGATACTCGCAGTGAATGTGATAACCACAGAGGTGGTAGTTTGACGCCTGTTGTGACAGCGCTTCCGTCGTCACTGATTCTTCGCCTTACGGTGGAACGCGAACCACTGACTCGTAACAACTAAGCGGAAGTTCGACCGAGTAGAGGATGCGTTGACCACATTGCCACACTCCACAAGGTGTTAGAGCAAAGCCACATGTACGGAAGACCCACAATCCCTTGACTTCAAGGGAGCGTTTGATTCTTTTGATCGATCAGTACTGGTAACTACACTTGCTCAACAGGGTATGCCCCGGAAGTTTGTAAACATAATCCGATCTCTATATTCACATACTCCTGGGCGGGTGAGGGTGTATGGTGAGCTCTCCAAAAGCTTCCCTACAAAAAGTGGTGTCAGACAAGGATGTCAACTCTCCCCATTCTTGTTCAACTTCGTCATCGATGAAATAATGAGGCGAACACTGGACGGTTTTCAAAACCCCGGTGTTCAAATTGTTGCTGGCGAGAGCCTTGTCGATCTGGAGTACGCAGATGACATCGCCCTCATCTTTGAAGACCATAGCGAAGCACAAGCCCTGTTGAATAAACTGACCGCCATCATACCATCATTTGGCATGCGCCTTGCACCTTCAAAGTGCAAAGTCCTGCTTCAGAACGTGCCATCTGCGAACATATCCCTTACAGTTCAAGGAGAACCACTGGAGATTGTGGAAAACTTTACATACCTCGGTAGTTGTATTAGCTCTGACGGAAGTGTGTCTGATGAAGTCAGTGCAAGAATCTCAAAGGCTCGAATCACGTTTGCTAATTTGCGTCACTTGTGGCGTCAAAAAGGCATCTCACTGGATCTTAAGGGTCGTGTGTACCAGACCACAGTAAGGGCTGTGTTGTTGTATGGGTGCGAGATATGGCCTCTTCGGGTAGATGATGTGAGGCGTCTTCAAGTTTTCGACCACCGATCCCTCAGAGGCGTGGCTGATTGTGGATGGCGCCAACGTGTTTGTAACGAGGTGATAAGAAAACGGGTATTTGGTTGTGCTGCAGGCACCTCAATCAGGGAAAACGTCCAGCATCATCGACTACGATGGCTCGTTCATGTTCTACGCATGCCGAAACACCGTCTACGGAGGTAAGTGTTGTTCTCCGTGCCTCCTTCCGGATAGCACAAACCACGAGGTGGATAACGAATGACTTGGCAGAGAGGCGTGAAAGAGATCACAGAGTTTGGGTGTTGTTGGTGTTGCACGCCTTCCAGGATGGGGTCCCCTTGACCCCGCCTTTGCCTGGCTGGAGACGTAAGAAATGGTGCCTAATCGATGTCAGTGGCGTTCGTGATATCAGTTTTTTTTCAGATTGTCTGACTGAGCAGTTGGAGTTGCAGGCACCTCAGAATGCTTGACATAAGCCAGCACTAGGTCCCCTCTCTCAGCCACTCTTTTTCTCTTTTTTTTTTACCCTGGGGCTCTTAATATAATTATGTATGTACATACTAGACGAAGCTTATGGTTGTACGGCAGAGAATCATCAATGCCAACAATGATGTAACTGTCTTTGATGATGATGTTGATGATTTCACTGAATGCAGGGACGGCGTTTTGACGCCTAATCTGACACCAAACGCACGTTTCATCATTAGTATATAACGTTGCGCTAGTGCTCGATGGGCACAGATTGATGCTCCCCTTCAAACAGGCAAAACGTTAGTCAACTTTGACCTCATCTTTGTCGGTATAATTTTTCTTCCGAACCAAGTTAAACAAAATACTGTAACAACCCTATTCAGAGTGGCAGAGATAGCAGAGTGATGGAAGCAGGGAGGTGACCAACCATTCACCTGGTAGAGGGTTATGAAGGAGATTAAGAAACGTTTGAGTGCTGTCATTGCTACTCGTCTTCCAGGATGGGGACCGCGTGATCCTCACTGTGCCTTAATAAAGACACTGCGAAATATGGCCGTCAACCGATGTCAGTGGTGTTCTTATTGCCTAGTGTTGGAGACACCTCAGAATGATCGTACTGAATTAACAATAAGCCACCTACCTCTCCATCTTTATTCTTTTCTTCAGATTCAGGCTTTCAAATAAACTATGGCTATACGACCGTGAAGTATTGGTGTTTAAAACTGATGCCATGCTGTGAATGATGATAATGATGAAGACCAAACGGATTAGCATAAATGCTCTTGATGTCTCCATCGTGGTTTAAAATCTCTAGGTTAGATGAAATCAGAATAAGCCCTCGTTTCACTTCGGTGGAAATCCTGATCATGGGGCAGGTTATATATTCAAGTTCGGAATAACTAAATTGCAGATGGAAGCGAACCTTTTTGCTACATGCTCACATACCCAAATTGACCCTGAAGGGGGAAAAATAGCGTGATATTTAGGGAAACATCTCCCAAGATCGTTTTAAGATAGATATATAGCGACCTGTGCTCCAATGAACAACAAGGGTCATTTGAGATTCGGTTGAACTTTCTAACAACATGATTTCGGCTCGCGGAAATGTTCACCTTGTAGATATTCGGATTGCTCATAAAGTGTATCACTGTTGGCATCCTGATTTGAAGACATGACCAGAAGGTGATATGAGGCTCTAAAATTAAACCTTCCAACTCAATCCCCACGGAGGTGCTTTAGTCCCTCTGTGCTGCTAATAGAGTGTAGCACGATACAAAGGCAGATCTATAAAGTAACTTCTAAAGTTTTTTCGGTTAAAGAAGAGATTTTGTGTCATTGGCGGGGGTAAAAATATAAAACAGCTTACTACTCTGTACAGAAGTAATACACTACTAATAAGGTTGTTGGCAAGTTCTCCGACAAACCATGACTGATTTCGAGCCTTTTTGTGTTCACCATTTGGACGAGATCATCGGGTTTTCGTTCTCATTGAACCCAAATTCTTTAAAATCAGCGAAGTGCAATCGTTTGCATGCCAATTAGATTTTGACAGGAGACCCGCTTGAAATCTAAACCCTGTTCTTTTCCTGACCACTTCTTCAGTGGACGTACTATCGAAAGAAAAAAGCTTGGCTTTGCCAAACAAGCAAAGTTCCTATCCGGGTTGAATGAGAACAGTAAACCTTCTTCAGGTTAAGGAACAAGAAAATCATTATTTTCAAAAAGGCTGATGAAACAACTTTCCCGAAATATTCGCGCTTTTCACCAAACACCGCCAGCAGAAATAGTGGCATGCGCATGATTCTAGACGGAACCACGACCATCCAATTTAGCGCGCCAAAATCAAGTAAGTAAACTGAACCATTCGCTGAATAATTTTTTGAAAGTCCCAGGAAAGTGAACAACAAAATTCGCATGCGAAATTGGCCGGGGAAGTTGGTGAGGAGGGAAGAACAGATCAATAGTTTGGCTCAAGCCACATCGCAAACTTTCACGGGAAGTAAAAGGTGACTTAGTCTGTCTGAATTGTGAAGGGCCGTAATTGGTAGGCAAACAGAAGCGGAGCAAATTATCACAATATTCTGACAAGCTAAGTGAAAGCAACTTGCTTGATGAAATAAATCATACACATGAATTGGCGACAACCATTTTTTTTAACAAATAGGGATTCCATAACTAGGGAATAGTTAGGTAGGCAACTGAGTGCCTCGTCTGAGGTTTGAGTTTATGCTCCTCCTGTAAATCAGTGTACTTGCAAGGTTCCTTAGGCATTCGATTTTTTTACACTTATCGGCCTCACTCAAAACATCCAGGTGAAATTTGGAACAGACCGATTTCATTCCTACAAAAAAACGTCTCGACGCCAATAAATTAGTTACGCTAAGTTTTGCTTCGCAGGAATATATCATGGTCCATTCAGTCCAACCTGTGACAATTAAATTTATTCCCTTCTTGTCAAGGAACGTGTAAACTGATTACTCTATGGTGTTTTTGATTATAACATTAGCCCACATATCTTGACAAGAGTGGTTTATCTACAGATGCTATTTTGGCGTCGTCCAACACCTGATAATCACACACCTCTTTATGTTGGAATCTGAGATCATCCAATCAGATTTCAGCCCTCGTCGCAGCCAATCACCGAACAACTGTGTGACACTCAAGGCTATTTTTTCTTTGTAAATGAACACAGTACGTATCAGTTTGCCTTCACAAGAAGGTTGATTGTTTATGGACCGTTTGACCGTTGATAATAATTTTTTGGAGGATCTAAAATTACAAAACGCAGTCATGATGCAGATCGATAGTCTGAACGCTATAATTCAAGAAAAGCAGATCCAAAATCCAACCGGTCGAACTTCTGCTAGCATGTCGGTTCAGCCTACTGATCAGCTGGTTGGTGTGTCAGTCAAGAATCACATGGAAACTGTCATCGCGACCACCGTTATGCTCTCACTGATATCAGTAGTCGGAATCGTTGGCAACATTTTGGTGGTGTGGGCATTTCGCTGCCACGCTTCTCAAGGTATCGTCACCAGTATGCTCATTCTGACTTTGGCGTGCCTAGATCTTCTGATTTGTGTCGTTGGAATTCCAAGTACTCTATATTTGGATGTGTGGTCGGGTGAGACTACTGACATCATTTGCCGTATTCACATGGCGTTCAAAGGATTTATTGTGCCTGTCTCGGCTTGCGTGTTAGTGTTTATTGCGCTTGAACGGTTTTTTCTCATCTGTTTTATTCCCGGTTTCGAACTGAAACGTATCCACCTGACGGTGGCTTTTATTTCCATGTTGTGCTTTGGAATAATGCTGGCCATCCCAATGGGTTTACATGTGAAATCTAGCGAAATCGCCAAAGATCGGGACGAACTACTTCATTTGGCACTGCAATCAAGTAAAACCAGTATGAATTCACCCAAACAGACCGCAGTCCATATTCCCAGACGTTGTGTGAAAGATGACCAATACGTTGGTGACACTATCTACTGGTACTTTCAAGTTGTGGTCATGTTCCTGTTTGCTTTTCTCTTCTTCAGCCTGGTGTGTATTTACGGAGTGATTTTCTTGTTTGTATGGCGCCACGAATCGCTAATGTTCGAACGATACGGGAAGTCAAAATATCGTGGCTACTGGATCCGCATACACGCATCCTCCAAACAAAGCACTCAACGCCCCTCACACTCAAAACATTCATCGACCCAGCCCAGCAAGGAGGAGAGCGAAAGCTTGCGGAAAACGGAAGATAGTTGCGGCAGTAGAAAAGATCAAAAGTTGGAAAGAATTCGCTGTGCTTGTCTGTGTGATTCAAAGCAGGTTGAGGAGAACACAGAAACCCAGTATACCAGCCTACGAAATGTGTCCAAAGCGAGTACGGACTCGAACAAAAAAATTGGCAAAATAGTCGATTACGAAACAAGCCAGAGAGAGTCATACAAAGCACACAATATCATTGAGTCGGCCAACTGGTTACCCGAGTCAAGCTCACCCTCTGCTAGAACGAGTAATTCGAATCCCAATAAGACATGTTGCTGGAAATCCCCAACATCTGTCACGATTGTGTCCGGCAGTAATGAATCGGGGGACGGTGCACCACATCCAGTAAAAATTAAAAATGAAGATATTATCAAGAGCCCATTTCCTAAGCAAGAAGACTATATAGCCCGTACAAAATGGGCCGCACAAACGATGGAACGGAGGCGCCGACCCCATGTACATGCGGCACAAACGTTTGCCCTAATTGCCGCTGCATTTGTCATGTCATACAGTCCCTATCTCATATACACTTCGATGCCCGTGACCAGACGAACTATTCGGACGGTGCATGATGAAGATCGCTGGTATGTTCAGGTGGGGCGGGTGGCATTCTACATGTACTTTATTAATTCGGCTCTAAACCCCATCATTTACTCATGTACGAACAGGCATTTTCGGACGCGTCTTGTCGAAATTGTATCCCGATTCAGAGATATCTGTGCTGTTTGCACTTGCAAATCCACAAGTACGAAGGATGACCTTGAACAAAAAGGAAATTTAAAGCCACAGGAGATGCAGTCCCTAAGTGGTGCACCAGACTCAACGTTTGAAAAAAGCGAACGAAAGCAAACAGATCTGTGATTTGTGCGGCTTCAAGTGTCTTCTGTTCACAGTACACTGAAAAGTAATTATAAGCAGAGTTTGACTATTCTGGTAAGTATTCTACCCTAGATCTCCGTTCTCTTACGCGATGTATTCAAATGTCCTGAAAGGAAGTTTGCAGCATAATCATTCCCCGACCGGAACTCGGTTCACCGATTGTGCTATGAAACAGGTCCAAGTCAGAAACTCGATGTTTTGAAAATGTGATCTCCGTTGTCCCGATTCCATCCACCGATTACCAATGGTAGTTTCCACAGTTCCCGATATTATTCGTACGGTATTTTCACATATTCTGGAAATTCGGCCAGAGTTGTGCATGTGAAAAAAAGTGATTTTTTGTCCTGTCATCTTGATAGTGACCGACCGCCATGCATTTACAGGCCGAACGTCGGTCGAAATCCCCATATATCGCCTTGTTGATTGCGCTTTCGTTTATGCACAAAAACTTCATACCGAAAATTGTCACTTTTTTATACGCGAAGAAATACTTTCAACTGGGTAAAAAAACATTGTATATTTATCATATGCGGATATCTGCTGGCAGGATTCTATGTAGAAGCGCGAGCAAGTTTGATGAGCAACCGGAACGCAGACATCTACGGGTCACGAATGTGGGAGTAGGAACTACATAGAGCGCGCTTAGTAAAACATCTAGTTTATTTGCGAATATACACTCATTTTTTCGAGATACTCACCTGGAACCCAGTTGAATCTCTCGTTTCTTCATGATGTTCTCAGGCAAGTGAGTGTGCTGCATGCACCAGGCCGCCTCATGTTTCAAACATCTAGTTTATTTGCGAATATACACTCATTTTTTCGAGATACTCACCTGGAACCCAGTTGAATCTCTCGTTTGTGATGCTCTCAGTTGCCTGAGAACATCACAAACGAGAGATTCAGCTGTGTTCCAGATGTATCCCTCGAAAAAACCAAATTAGTTTGCAAATGAGCGTACTTCTCTAATTTCGTGCGATTTGGTTTCATGGAGAACATAAGGTTGACGGAGACCCGGGGACTGTGCCTACCTGATGAGCCCCAAAAAGGGCGAAACCGGTCGTGGATTGTCGACGGATTTTCAGCAACCGTATGAGTAATACATTACAAAGACATACATGTCTAGTTTACTGGTTCAGCGAAAATGATGGTTACGAAAAATAATTGTAAAAATAAAACAAATAAATGAAGTTGCAACTTTGTGCTTGAAGTGGATCTAACAAGACCTAGCGTTTTAGTAGTAAAACATTCAACTCGAGCGACAGTTGAATGAATCTTGGAAGTCGTTTTTTTGACAGTATTACTGGTTGGCCCCATCAACTCCGAAGAACCTTGAATACGATGACACCATGAGCCTGACAGTAAAACCAGAACGGAAATGGGCATTTTCAGTTAACGGTGATCTTATGGGCCAATCGCAAAATGACGAACTGGGGTGCATTGACCGATTGCATCATTATCAGGCAATATATCTACCATGCTTTCAGTTTCGTTCAAAAGTTGAGGAAATACTCAGTTTCCGATTGGTGTGCTGAACATTCTACTAGAATGGATAAGAAAACTTGTGCAGCAGATTGTAGCGTTTGGTTTTCTCACGTTGTTGTAGAATTGGACATTTTCCAAGGCTTAGTAAAATGGCATTTGCTACAACGTTCGTTAATACTAGTGGTCCAAAAGTTTGGTGTATACGCTGTCTTCAATCATGACATCAACGTAATCACTTTGAAAATATAAGAGCCCAAATCTAACAATCAATGACTGAGTGATCCGAAAAGCAAAATAATTTTTCCATTCTCGTTTTAAACTAATTAAAAATGTGTGAACTGAATTGGCAGATTGACGTGACGAGGTCGGCTTTAAAAAAACGCGGCTTTTAGTATCGGACTCGAAGTGCGGATCTATACACCAAGACTTAGCTGATGAAAGAGCTTTCTGGAATGCTCAGTCGAACCGTTTGCTGTGGTGTCTTGACACTATTTTGAACGTAATTTGAGGATTATATGAATGCAGTATCGTATGATATTCAAGAATATCCTGTACAGGGTGTCTTGTTCAAATTTTCTTCTCTTAAAAACAGCTGGTGCGTCACTGCAGCGATACAAAATTCGGATAAATTCCATTTACTAGTTGCTCTTCTACAATTGATAGTTTATCAAACGATGTGTTAGGACACAGAAAGAAGCTTGAATTTTGCGCAAAATCGATATCGTTCAAGGCGTATTCAGGTTGTAAAAGTCGTACCAACGTTCATGCTTTATCGACTAGCTGTAACACAAATTATATGGTGCACCATACAAGCATGGAGCAAAAGGGAAGACTGAGGTTCTGGAGTAAGTGGTTGACTCTGCAGAATAAAGCCAAGATGGATTATGCGTCATAGAGTAAGGAGCTAAACATTAAATTTAGGTGTTTTTCTTTGAAACCGCCTTTGTGGTTTGGAATCTCATCACACGAGACCAGAAATAGATCGCAAAGCTTGATAGCGCTCACTTTAGCCATTTAAATGGTAACGTGGTATTTCATGAATCCAGTGCTTCTAAAATGAGCACTGACTGATGGAAAGCCTGGGATCATCACAAACGAGAGATTCGGCTGGATTCCAAATTGGTTCGGAAATGAGGTTATTTCGCTAACTTTGTCCCCGGAAACCCGGGGACTGAGTCTACCTGATGAGCCCCAAGAAAGGCGAAACCGGTCGTGGGCTGTCGACGAATTTTCAGCAACCTTATGAGTACTACATTACAAAGCTATGTGAACTTCCATAAATTCCACATTACTGCTTGATTCTACGTCGAATGAAAAGCATTCATCAAGCCGAAGTTTTGCATTCTTACGTACTACAGGTGATTCACGGCTCAAGAGGTGGGGAGGCCCAGAGGCCAAGTTTGACACTTAGACCCGACAATCCCATCCAACTCAAAACAACAGGAATCCAGGAGTCCAGGATGAGTCCGGGAATCTGGGCGAGATGGCCCAAGTGATTAGAGCGCGAATTCACTGGTCGAAAGGTCCGTGGTTCGAACCCGACCTCTGCTTCTCGACTTCTCCTGTCTGGGCTTGGGCAACCTGACAGTATCCCAGCCCTCATGCAAACTTCGGGTGACATGGCAGTTAGGCACCGAAAGGGTGCTACAGCTGGACGACGCAGGAATCCAAACATCAAAAACAGAGATTGTTAATGACCAAAGAATTTCATCGGAAATGCCCGGCTTAACAAGCACGCCGGAGTAAACTGAAATAGATGAAGCTGTGCCATTAGAACAGCCGTTAAATCGCTTTTAGTGCAATTAATGGTTAACATCGCAATTTCACTCATGAATTTCCAAAGAGTTAAGCTAGTTGGGTCGATAATTTCTCGCCCATGTTCCTCATAAATTTCAAAAGCTTGACTGTAATTTTCAAATGTTCAGGCGGACTGATTTAACCTTGTTCCCGAGAAGCAACGCTGTAGCTGAAAGTTCCAGTCATCGGACGGGGCATAGCTTATGCGTCACTTAAAGCTACCGATTAAAAAAGGAGATTACACGTTACCGCGAAAGTCAGTTGCTTCCTCATCCTAGTCGTCTGTCAGGGAATACTTAATAGCTGATCTGCTAAACCAAAGATCACGTAACACAATAAACGGACCGAGTTATTCAGCACATAAAAACGTCTTTTTACTGGGCTTCCCACGCCTGCACAAACGCTGACCTCCGCACTACATCCCCTTTGTAACCCGGAACAAAACGTCTTTTGGATGATAACCTGTCTGGTCAGTTTATTTTTGTGTCCTGACTTTGAACTGACATTATTTGATCGGTATACTGAATATTGGAATTGTTGAAATCAGAAGAGACCCAGAAGTGCTCGGTCTCCTCTCAGGTGATTTCACAGAGATGACCGCGTTCCATATTTGGATAGAGAATCTGATATTTCCACTCTATGCGAGATTAAACTTGCCTGCAGTCATATTGAACATTTGGATAAAAAAACCTGTCACGCGTATCATGACACAGTGTGCGTGATAAATTTACGATTCTAACGCCAGTGAACACGTGTTGCAACCAACGTGAAGTATGTCTGTACTATCCAATTGGGGGGGTGATTGTAGTTCAAACTCGGGAGTTGGGCTTTAAAATTCTAAATTTATCTACCCGTTGTATAAGTGGATGATAGGAAGAAAGCTAGTGTTATCGAAATTTCATTCAAATTATCCCCAAGGAATGATTCGTTGGTTTGTAAACTAGGGTGTCATCAACAACAAAATCATGTCGGTATCCTGTTCACAAGATGTTCACCCAGGGGTTTGTCGCATCAATCCATTTATCAATTTACCTTTTTTTATTAGAAAATACAAGCCTTTATAGAAAAACACTACCATCAATTAGGAACGGGAATACTAAGAGGTCCTTCTGCTGTAAGTTACCTCATTTTTAGAAGCCATGGTTGCACCTAGTTCGATGAGGTTGTCAAAACAGAAATAAATGTCAATCGGGGAGCCTATTATTAGCCAATATCGATTGCAGGGCGTCAAGGTAATCTGCCACCAGAAATTGGAAAATTAAATAAGCCCATTTGCTTACCCAAAAGGAATATGGTTCCTCACATGACTCACTTTGTTTTGAAAATACAAATGAGGTAGCAAAATTAGAACAGAGTCTTCTAAACATGCTTAATGTCTATCAATAGCTGAACTTTTAGTCTGTCATTTTGAACCGGGATGAGTATTTGCGTTCCATATCTATTAATAAAAACTTGAAATGTTTTGCCACTGAATTAGGTTAATTTTTTGTTCCCGTTCATTCAGATAATTTACAACACGGTGTACGGTTAAACTACATATTTATTTATTTGTTCATACATTTAATTACTCACTATTTCACACAGTTGACAACCTATTAACTGACCTCTGACCTGTCCCGAGTGCAGAAATTTCTTGGTTGCATTTTAAAACACCGCAAAGGGTGTCTACTAACGAATTATTCAACCATCATACTCAGTAGGAT